TTTTTTCAGCCGATACATTAACCAATAATTACCCGCTTCTCATGGCACATAGCTATAACCGATCAACAGTTCTGATTTTTCTAATCTTTTTAGTAAAGTTCATCAAAAAACTTCACAAACATACTTTGGCTTTTTATAGAACATAAAGCATATCAATCATTTTACATAAGATTTAAAAATGATTTATTATTACAGGACACATTTGTCAGCTGTAATTTAATGATCCCAATCATTTATAATAATGCAAATTTTCCATTATCAGCTGATAATGTATCTGTCCCTACAGAATATTGAAATAATGATTAATATGAGGCTATAACATGAGAATATTAAACAGTAAACATGGTCAGTGAGGTGTCCTTTAACTCTCCATCTATCAACACAGGCTTTAAACTGGAACTGCTTCATTTCAGGCTTTATGCTAAGCTAACCGTCTCCTGGCTGTCGTCTCATATTTAACAGACGGACATAAGGGTGGTTTCAATCTATCGATCATCTCCTGGCAGGGACACAGAAAAGTGTATCTTCCCCACAAGTTGAACTATTTCTTTAAAAAAAGAAAGACCACATTGATGCAGCAGAGGCAGAGCAGATATTCTAACCAGTCACTAGTATGAGTCTCCAAAAACAATAGATCCCATATTTCCCAAAATACAACTACATAACATATTTTTGTTAAATCCTTGTTGCCAGGTACCCATGTCTTTCAAACTCCACAGATCCAGTTTGTAATATTTGTAACACAGGCTCTCCGTTTAAAATTTGCAGTCAAGCTCAAGCTGACATAACCCCGAGGGCATCACTATGACATCAGTGTTATTTCCCAGACTTAACAAAGCTCCTCCAAAGCCAAAGATTATTTATTATACAATCAGTATCTTAGCAGTACAATCAGTGGGATGCCCCTTTAATTTGAGAAGAATAAAACCTGTTTAGGAGTTTAACCATCTGCCTCACCTTCTCCTTCCTCCTCGTTCTCGTCTTCATCGTCTTCATCGTCGTCGTCTCCGTCTCCCTCCTCCCCTGAATCGCTGCTGCCCTCGTCCAGGATATCTGTTGGGACGCGACAGCTGATTAGTTTGACTGTTAAGGAAGTAAGTGCTGATTGGACAGTGCAATGTTTGTGGGCATTCTTACCTTTTTTAATGGTTTTGTATTTCTCCTCGTTCTCCAAGAAGTCTGGGTCCATCTTAAACACATCTGAGTGAACACACATACACACACACACATACACGTTAGGGCGTCATATATATATATATTTATACTTATTTCTGCAGAGAGAGATGTAGAGCCAGGTGGAGCCCATCCCCCGTCCCCCTCTGGAGCTTACTTAGGATGTCCTCTGTGTTGTACTCGTCATCCAGCGGCAGCATGTGGGTGAACTGGTCTTCCTCGTCTACCAGGTCCAGGCCCTCTGGGATCACTGGATGATCTTTGAAACCGTCCTTCCTGATGGCAAACATCACCTCGATCATGTACTGGACCCTCTTATCGATAGCTGACTCATGGAGGACGTTTCTGAGGCGCTCAAATATGGCTGAAGAGAGAAACAAGCAGAATCTGTAAGCACTTGATAAACTGTGCTGATGTTCATATTTTGGAAAGGCAGACCTTTCTACAAATACTGTTTAGTTTAACAGAGCATTAACCGTTGAACAGAGTTTACGGTTGCAGCTACAGCGTACCGTTGATTCCTCGCGGGGACACCTCGGTCAGTTTGAGTCCACACTCCTTCAGGAAGGCGATGGCGACCTCCACGCTGTCGTCAGTGGGACGCTCCAGCAGCAGAGTGAGCATCTCCAGACACAAAACCTCGTGGGCCTGAGGGCGAGGGACATCGGAGCAGAAAGAGAGAAAGAGAGAGAGAGAGAGACGTAAACACACTTAATTAGAGCTGAACATGGACACTCAAACTGTCCGTCGGTATTAAGGTCAGACAGCAGGACCTACCACATTCTGGTTGATGAGATGCGCCACAAACTTTGAGGCTGTCAGGCACTGTTGCTGGAAAAACAAAACACAGACCGACTTTAATACATTATGTGTCACACTACCTGTCGTTCTCTGTTGATCCACTAACAGCTACAGACAGACATACAGTCAGACAGACAGGTACCTTAAGGTTGCGGCGGTAGCTCTTCCTGAAGGTCAGGATGAGGCGTTTCAGGATCAGCTCTCCAATCTGAGGGAACTTGGAGTTGATGATAGCGACGACGGCGGCGTAAACGTGAGTAAAGATCGGAGACGCTGCCTGAGCCTGCAGCACCGAGCGAGACAGCAGACCCCTGAAAGACAGAGATGTGGGAAGTCAGACAGAACACAACCTCCAGACTTTTGTTTCTCTTGTGGGATAGCAAGACAAGAAAGTTTCTGCTTCAATCTCCTTAATAAGTCTCACTAATCAGGAAGTTTGATTTCAGCCCTTTATGGCACCCTACTCATCTAAAAGAGCTAGAACTGTTTCACTGCAAACGTCACACTTCTAACACTACACCCTCATGTGTTTGTGATATTTTTAGTAAGAAGCTGACAAATAATTATTTATAATTATTTTAGATTATTAGAATATTGAGTGTTAATGTGAAGTTGTATGTTTTTGTTCACCTTCCCCTGATGATGTTCTCTTGCAGCAGCTCCTGGATGATGTGGACAATGTTCGACACGTTGACTTTGTTGATCAGACCATTGATGGACTTCTTCAGAGCCTCCCAGCTCATTCTCTGATAGGCCAGGCTGCACAGAGGGCGGGGAATCAGCAAGAACACAGATTATATGGAGTTGATTAAATACACAGTCAATATTGCAGTAACACAGCTCAGGTCCAGAGTCATAACAGAGAGCTGCTGTTGTTTTTAATGCAGCTGGGTGAAGAGACTGTTTGCCAGGATTGTGTGTTTAAGAGTTAGTAAGATGCCAGAATATCCATTTACAAATCAGTGCAATGAATTACCACATTCATATTTTCATTTCAACATTGGCCATGTTTGCCTTTGTTTAGTCGTTTAGATTTTATTTAAATGCCAACGCTCAAATCTCAGATGTCAGAGCATCCCTGAATACACCACGACCGTCTGCCTCACCACTCAACAAACACTTAAGTGTTTTACCACACAATGATACCTTAACTTTGCCCAAAAAATAAAGGCCTATAATAGTTTATACTGAGGCAATTCAATGTTTACTATGATGGATTATCTCTCTGCAGCAAGTCTCAAGTTTCCACACGGAGAGTTCCATAGAAACAAACTGAAAAACAGCAGCCTCCAAGAAATAAAACGTACAAACTTAAGAGTGACCAGCAGAAATGTGAAGTATACAAGATTTGCAGTTAATGAACTAGCTTTCAAAAGAAAAGAAAGAAAGAAAAACTCTCTCACCTGCTCTTATCAGTGATTTGCTGCTGCATCATGCGTAGCTTTGCGGGGGGGATGTAAGCGCCACCGGTCCTTGTCAGGATCGGGTCCAGCTCCTCCTTCTTCTTCTTGACCGGGGGCTCTTCGGCTGCCGCTGGCTCCCTTCCCGGCGGAGGGGAAGCCGAGCGACCTCGCCTCCTGTGCTCTGACTCTGCATCCCGGTTGGTCCGCCGGTCAAAACGACCGCCCCTGTCGTCACGGCGATCGTCATAGCGATCCCTGGGAAGAGCAGAAAGTTTAGTAGAGGCAGTAAAAAAGGATGAGTAGAGATCTGTGAACGTATTTAGTATTGTGGTGTGTTAAGAGTATTATGTGTAGGACTTTTTATAACAGAATCACTAGTTAGTTAGTATGCGCGTGTGTGTCTGTCTGTTACCGAGTATAGCGTCCTCTGTTGTAGCGATCCCAGTCTCTCTCTCTGGACCTGGACCTGTCTCGTCCTCTTGACCCGGACCTGTCTCGTCCTCTTGACCTGGACCTGTCTCGTCCTCTTGATCCCGACCGGTCTCGCTCTCTGGATACAGATCTATCTTGTTCCCTGGACTTGGATCTTGATCTCTGGACAAGAAATAAACAAAGAGTGTCAACAGTATTTCTTTCAGTCTTCCTGTTTTTTTGTGATCAACTTTTTATTTTCCATTTTTGGATACTGGAGAACTTCAGCCTTTACATAACAGGCCAACAAACGTAAAACATTTCAACATAAATATACAAGCACACAAGCATTCAATCAGCTGTCCATCCAGTCTTTTAAAAATCGCCCCTCCCTGAAGTCTGAGTTTAGCTGAATAAGACGGACAACACAGCAGCTCTGGATGAACTTAGGAGTCCGTTCCTACTCAGGGTAAAAGCTTGTAGGTACCTGGGGAGTTCATGTCCAAGATGACAGTAATGGGCACACAGTTCTCTTCCATTTGTGATTCTGTCACTCAACAAGCTGCAACTTTATTCAGCAGGTCTGTTATTAAGCAGGTCAGCTAACTCTAACCCCTGCTATTTCATCTCACAAACAGGTCTTGATGTCAAACCTTGCTCTGTTGCCATGGAAACTAACACAGCAGACCAGCCAAGTTTGTCAAACCACTTATCCAGAATAGTGAGGCCAGACACCTCAAAGCATGAACATCGGCCTGGATACAAAGTGAGCACTGCATGGTGGCTCGCATCAGTCCTTGCTTACTTTGATCTGAGCCACACTGCTCCTAATCTTCCTCAGGGCCCCATGATGTTCATCCTCATCATCACTGCTGCTGCTGCTGTCTGAGCTGCTGGAGGCGGGGCTCCTGGAGGCGGCACTGCCTGCAGGACTGGCCCGAGGGGACGGCCTCTCTTTGGGGCTTCTTTCAACGGAGCCGGCCTTTTGAGGCCTCTCTGCTTTTGGACTAGACTCGTCCTCTGAAGGTCCTGAAGACAGGGAGAGGGAGCAGCACAGTCAGATGAATAGCAACACCACAGCACAACAAGTACTGCTACTGTTACTACGACAACATAAAATAGTGAAAGCAGGTTTTACTCACCACTGTTTTCTCTCTTTGCAGGACTGGGACTTCGACTTCTGCCTGGAGAGTCCATACCTGAAAAACACACATACACATTAGTGATTATAATGAATAAGTGTTATTAACAGCCATCTTAAGTCCACATGTTCACAAAGAAAAGCAGAAAGAGTCTGTTAAATAAACAAGGAGGCCTGTTAATATCAGTATTTCAATTATTTGTCATCTAATCCCACAAAAGGTCAGAAACCAACAATATGTTTGTCTCCCATCTTCTCCTCCATTGTCTCTGTTCCCACTGGAGGCATGCTGAACATAGTTTAAATGGTTATATATAAATAATATATAGTTTAAGTTAAAAAAAGGGTAGTTTCCTAAAACAGCTAGCCACTGTAGTTTTTAATGAACCATTACTCAAACAGGAGAACCTTTTGGGGGACTATTTCTTACTTTCTTCACTTGTCAGGGATTGGGTCTGCAGACTCTGACAACAACCTGCTCCAGATAAACTTTTGGGCAGCTTTGAGAAACTTAAAATAATCATCAGAGCAATCAAATCAAGCCAACTCCAATATACTACATGTAATCATCCAACTAAGATGGGGACTTAATGTGTGAATATCCCAATTTTACAGCATTATGGGGATATTGTTGTTTATGTATACACTCAACAGTTGTGTACAACACGGATAGCACCAAAGCCTAAAATTTAAGATGCAGGGATCGTCAAAATATTGCCCTTTGGGCTTTACAATTGAATTAAATGAAAGTGAGAATATTTTCTATAGTCTATAATCGTCTAATGACCAGCGTTAGTGTTGAGTTTCCCCATGCTGTCTCAATGACAGGTGTTTCCGAGCCACAGCAGACACAAACGAATAACGTACACAGCCTCTGGTTATTAGGTTCAGATGGCCCTTTGAAGACGTAACGTTAGTTAGATAAAGTGTGTGTAGAGTTTCAGACACTTCTAACTCTCGATACAGGAACAGATAATAACACTATTAACAGAGCATTTCTTCCACCGGCTAAAATACAATACATACTATAAGCCCGCGCGTCGTAATTAGTAATTGAATGTAACTTTAGGTGGGTTGTTAAATTAATAATACCATCTGTAGTTGTTAAACAGCCTGCAGTGAAGGTGTCAGTGTTACCGCCATGTGTGTTTGGATGAGCTAAAGTCAGCTAACGATAGTTTGCTAATCCTATTCTAGCTCCAGCTAGTTAGCTAAGCTGCTAGTACTTTAGCAGTCTGTCGCTGAAAGCTCCACACTTTCTCTTCTCCGTCTTTGGAGAGAAACTCTGTCCTCTGACTGTGTTTTCTGGCCTTTATTATCCTCTTACCGTTATGGTTTCCGACTTTTCGCCCCTCCGTTAAATCAGTGTCGTTCTTCTTCTGGCGGAAAACTTCCTACAATAAACCTAAACACTTCCGGGTCAGGGACAACTTCCGGATTTCACAATAAAAGTTTCCACGTATGAACGGAGCGGCTGTTTTCATATCGCCTCCCGGCGGTGATAATAGTTATACCTCCTCCAAAGATGTCGGAGCTCAACCAGGTGAGCCACAAGGGCGCCCCCCAGTTGTAAAACAGTTGAATTATATCCAAATAAAAAAAGCGTGCTTGTTGCTTCATTTTGGGCTTTGAACATTTGAAATAGTTGAAATACTGGAACAGTTGAAGTTGAAGTTGGAGTCAAAAGTCAAAAGACAAATGCTAAAAGATGCTGAAATAGCAATACTGAAACAGTTGAAGTTGTAGTGTAGAAGTAGTGTAAGCACTGAATGATACTGAAGTTAAAGCTGAAATGGAAGCAATGAAAAAAAGTTTAAGTTGAGTCCAAGAACTGAAAGGAGTTTAAATGTCAGGTGTAGTTAATATTGGTTTTGTATATAAAATTTTTCCAGGAGCTCTGTGCCTACATGGGTCTCCCTAGACTCAACCAGAGGCTCAAAGACCC